TGCCTTCCAAGTGGATGACACAGTCTAGACCAGGGGTCCTCAAACTTTTTAAACAGGGGGCCAGTTCACTGTCCCTCAGACCGCTGGAGGGCCGTTGGAGAGTGCGGTGCACATTCCACACCTGTGCACTGTGGGCCTGGGACGAGTCGGCTGCTAAGCAGGACAGGCAGCGGTGGCAAAAACACCCAGCCGGCCGGATAAATGTCCTTGGTGGGCCGCATGTGGCCCGCAGGGCATAGTTTGAGGACGCCTGGTGTAGACTTTCTATAAGTCAAATGAGAGTGTGGGGAGCCAGTAGACTGGACATGTCACCAGACCTGGCTGTGGATCTCAGTTTAGATCTAGTATGATTTAGAAAAATAGATCCACACATCACTTAGTAAACTAAGTATCATGGAACAATAACAACAGCCCATGTGGGTGTTCCTCCAGGACTCCATCCTGGCTGTCCCCTGCCTCCATGCATGGACTCTGAAGCGACATAAGCAGCTCTGATAGGCCCAATGAGGGAGGGACAAGGAGTGGCCGAAAGGTGAGCAGAGAGACTCACCGTGACATTACAGCAATCAATGTATCTTTAGGTAATTCAAATTTAGCCTCAGTTGGTAGAGACTTCCCCACTCCCCTATCTACAGAAGCCTGACAGATAAATCTGCAGATAAATCTGCAAACGGATCTTCCCTCTGGACATACCACTTGCACGTCTTCCATGGCTTCAAGGTATAGCCGATCACTTTGTCCACATCATGCCCCACACCTGCCTCACAATTCAAAGTTTCCTCCAGAACAAACACAGAGCGCTCCCTTCCGAGCACTCCCTCCACTACCCAGATTCAGGGATTCCCGGGATAAGATATTCAAGCAAACAATTCCTTAATTGGATAAAGAGAAATTGGGCCGTGGGGGAGATATGTAGCTCAGAAAAACATAACAGACAAGGAAAGGAGCTGGGAGAGCTTGCGATCTGACAGTCTGGCTGGAGAATGGTGAAGGATCCCAGGACCCACGGGGGAGCTGACTAGGAGCTGAGGGAGAAAGACCTGAAAGGGTTAAGAAAAAAAAAAAGAAAATATTGATGTGGAATCTGACAAAAATATGCTTTTCAGACTGCTGGGAGGTCTAGAAGACCCCACTATGTAGCAATGTGAAGGGGAATGAACTTGGTTTGGACGGGTTCTGTGCCACCTCTGTGTGCCTTAGCCAAGAGACCCTGGAGATGACCCCTAACCGCTGAGCTTTAGATTCCTCCTCTGTGAAAAGAAGACAGCGTCTGCCGCCTCAGTGAGTCGGCGCCAAGGCCCAAGGCAGAGAGGGAGGGAAGCAGAACCCCCTCCGACAGAGGGCGCAGGTGCTGGCGTTGGCCTGCTCTGCTTAAATCCCATCTGCACAACCTGCCCATTTGATCATCTGACAAATGGGCAACCCCGCAGGCGGTTGCGATGACAAAATGAAAAACAAAAACGGTCCACGAAGGACTTACAGGATGTTTGGTGTATGGTCAGCACACAGAAACTAGCTGCTGTCATCATCACTGAGGAACAGTGGTCTGAAATGCTCAGCAGTAAACATGAGCCGGGAGGATGCAGCAGACAAAGGAACAGAGTTCAGGACGGACAGTCCCAGGAATGGCACAGACGTCCAAATGGAGCTTGGGCAGCTGGATCTGAGCCCGTCCTGCAGCCCCGAGCCTAGGGTGTGAGTGAGGTGACAGTCTCTACCGCAGCTGTCTTCCCTGCCTGTAAGGCCAGTCCTGCTACTTGGAAGAAGGCTGACCTCAGACTATACATTGTGGATGTGATAGTTTATTTTAAGCAGGAGTGCAAAATATCAGAAGAAGCGAGTCTTCAAGCTTTAGATACAGAAAACTCTCGTGTTCTTGGGAGCTTCCTTTTACCATGTTTCCCCGAAAATAAGACCTACCCATAAAATAAGCCCTAGCAGGATTTCTAAGCATTTGCACAATATAAGCCCTACCCCGAAAATAAGACTAGTGATGGGCGTGGCTACGCAGCATATCTGCACAACCCATGCATTTTGTCGCAGAGCAGTAAAGTCAATGAAAATAGAGTGACAAGAAATCAGCGTGGAAACTTTGTGAAGCCTAGCCTGCAAGAGGTCATGATTTGGATGAAGAATTCATGGGATAAAATCACTGACAGTGTTGTTACCAATGCACTCCAAGCAGGTTACATGGATAAGATTTCCTCATTTAATGAGAGCTCTATTGCTCCACATGAGAGATTGGGGCCAATGGTTCTAAAGGAAATAGAGTCACAAGAAATTGAGGATGGAATTCGGGGCTTGGAGAGTTATGATGATGTTCCAGAAGAAGATGATTTCACTATATTTGAATAAATGTAGATTGTTGTACCGTACTTAAAAAGAATAACACATCCCCTGAAAATAAGCCCTAGGGTGTCTTCTTGAGGAGAAATAAATATAAGACCCTGTCTTATTTTCGGGGAAACACGGTAGACATTTCCAAAATGATTTCCCATCTTCTGCCAAGGATCAGCTGTCTGGGTGCATCTGTCCAGTATGCTGTTACCTAGAGATGCTAGAGCAAGAGTTTCTCCTTATCCACTAAGACAGGAGAGCTGTGATGACCCCACAACAAGGGGACAAAACAAAACAGCATGTTTCGTGACATCAGAAGAAAAGTCCCCATGCCAGTGCTCTACAACCTGGCTATTTTGGACTCTGCCGGTTATCTGTGAGCAGAGAGGTGTGGCAGTCACAGGTGGGTGGGTCTGGGGCCGTGGCCACGCAAGGCTGGGAGATAAGGTGCCAGGTGGAGGATTAATTCAGTCTTCCATTTCTGCAGAAAGAAAAGTGCCAGGAGGGGCCCAGATGTACAGTTTGCCCTCTGGGGACCTCTGGCTTGACCCTGGATAAACTTTCTTTTTAGTGCCTCCCGCGGCAGCTCCCACATTTCCCAGTGCTCTCCGTGTCTTCCTGTGGCCTTGGGGTCAGCTCTGACGTTTTTACATCTGCATTCTTGGGCAAGACAGAATCTTCCTGAGCCTAAGTCTCTTCCTTCATGAGAATACGTAGTTCTGCACACTTCACAGTTAGCAGGTTTGTGAAAAGCTCAACTGTGAAACTCGGCACTAATGAAAAGCCGTGGACCACTGTTGCTTACATACAAGCTCTTGAGAAGCTGCCATGCACCGTACAGATGGAACGGTATTCCCAGTTAAGCGTGAGCACATCAGAGATTAGAGGGGTGCAGGGTGGAGAGGTGGGAGCTCTGAGTGGTGGGCCTCCTGGCTGCGGAAAAGCTGGTGTGGCGGCCACGCCAGGAAGTGGAGCAGGGGTGCCCATGTGTTCCTCCCAGACCCATGAGCCACGCTTTGGCATTTCCCGTTCACTCCAGTTTCCAGGTACTGCCTCCCTCCAGCCCGCCTGCCATCTCCAATCCCACCACCAGATTTATGGGCTTTTCTCACTGAGTTCTCCATCCCCAGAACATTCCTCCTTTCCTACCTTGCAGAGAATTCAAACGTGAGCTCTGCCCACTCCTGCCCCTCACCGAGCCGGAGCCCAGCGTTGCAGAGAAGCATGCTCAGACGAAAGCTCTTCCAACCGGCTCACGGCACAGCACCACCTCCCTCCCTACACCCCACCAGCCAGGTTGTGCCTTGGTGAATTACAGGGCTGTGTCTTGCTGGCCATGGCAGCTTCCAAATGGAGATCCCTTCTGGGAAGATTCACTCTGTACTGAGCCCAGCATAATCTCACCGTATCTAAAATAGAAAATTCCAGACACATCCCCCCCCCCACGTCTTGGTTATTAAACCCAATATGCGACCTCCTCGCCACGTGCTCATCTCTCTGCCTACTGCTGATTGTCTGATCCTAACCCCGACCTACCACTGTCCAAACCCGTTCTGGTATGGATCTGGGGCTCACAATTCTAGCTCAAGCTGCCAGCCCCTAGCAGGTGGGGGCAGTTTTCATCACCTTGAGAGCAGATTGAGGCTGCTTAAGGAGAACCCATAACAGGACACACGTGAGAGAGACAAATGCCCTGACATGGAGGAAGAGGAAGAACGTGACATTGGTCTCCCATCTTCCAAATGTGTTGAGTAAACGCCAACCTAACCCTCACCCCTCCTACTTTAAAACACTCCTCATCCATAGACCTCGGTATGAAGGAGCCAGCAAAAAGCTCAGGTCCCTAAAGAACGCTGCGCCTCCTTCTCATCACCTACTAGTGTTAGACTTTTGGTTGCCAAAGCCTTGGATTTGACCTTCCTGCCCAGTGGCTTAGCCTGGAGAGAAGGGTCTTCATGCTCAGAGGCAAGAGCTTGACAGACGTCCTTCCTCTCCCCAGGCTCCAGGACACTGAGAAGCCAAGCTTGCTGTCAGTGCCAGCCCTTCCTTAACCCTTTGCATTCGGATGTCAAGTGTGACTGACACGGTTGGCAAAAATTATAGAGATTAAAATTACTCTTTGAATGTATCAATAATTTGAAATATAAAAAAAATCCAAATAAATGAGTTTGTATGAAAAGAAACTCCAGTTTTTTATTCTGCTGATGCTCTTTGTAAAATCTGGAGTATTTAAAAAATTAAATCCTGAGTAGAATAAAGGAATCGAGAAAAAAGCAAGCAAGTGCAAAGGGTTAAAGTAAGTTAAATGCATTGCCAATGGGCCAGAGGATTTCTGAAACTCAGGCCATTCTCCCTCCTCCTAACCCCATCTCCTCTGCCTAAGAAAAGCCAGCTGAGCCACTCGGCGGCGTCCCCTGTCTCCCCAAGCCAGCATCCTTCCAGGAATCAGCCGGGCTCCCTCCCTGCCCTCCAAAGGCAATTTTCCTTATCACCTGCCAGGCGCAAATCCACAGAGTGGGCAAACACAGCAGAACTGATGCAACAGCCTGGGAAGGGGAAAGCTGCAGGTGTGTTTGTGCTGGGAGGGGCGGCGGCACCTCCGCTCCGTCCACCGGAGGTATAAAGACGGGCGCTCCACCACCTGCTCCATCACTTCCACCACCATGAACGCACTCCTGATCCTCGCCTTTGTGGGCGCCGCTGGTGAGTCCCACGCCTGGCCTCGGGCCACGCCTGCCCTTCTTGCCAGACATGTGCCCCACTGTTCTTGCTGCCTCCTCACTTCACCGTTGCTCCGATGCTCTTGCCCCCTGCCTAGCACCTCTCCTTCCCATCTGCCCGCGGCTCTCTTAAAGCCTCAGCTCTCTCACCTCCTCCCCAATTCCACCCCCACCGCCATCGTGCATCCACAGGCGAGGCTGTGGTGGCAGTGGGAGAGGGACACCAGGTGGAGATGCTGGGAGAGGAAGCGGCAGGCTCAGGGCTGCGTCGGGCAGCTCTGGGATAGCGCCTAGATATCCCAGAGGGAGCGCCACTAGAGCTGCACAGCTGCTGGCAATCTCAGATGCACCTGGGGAGGTTGAGCAAATACTCATGCCAGAGACCTCTAAAAATTCTAACCTCATTTGTATGGTGTGCAGCTTGCGTATTGAGTTTTTAAGCTTCCCAGATGATTTTAACATGTCCAGGTGTGCAGCCAAGGTTAAGAATCACTGTTGTATCAGCCAGTAACAATGCCTGCCTGTGTCCTGCCTGAGGGGGTCGGGGGCCTGCCTGCCACCCCGGTCTCACTGTGCTGAGCTAGGGAGAAGCTGAGTACAGCCAGGCTTTCCTAGCCAGGCCCACCCCTCCTGACAATCTTGGGCTCAGTCAGCCCTGAGGAGCAGACCAGTGATGACCCACGGAGAAAAGTAGCCAGTGGGTGAGACAACCACCTGCCAACTCCTATCCCTCGGAGAGCATCATGAGGGCATTCCTCTGTCCTCAGCCCAATGCCCCCAGGAGAGGGCCAAGCCCCTACGTTGTGCTCTGCAGACACGCAGAGACTGAGGCAGCCACCCCCTGTGACACCCCCTGGGAAAGGCAATGCCCCCACCCTGGCCTGGCTTCACCGTGCCTGCGGAGGAACCCTAGTTAGCATGAGCTGGGCACAGGGCTGAGGGTTCCAGCCCCACCATCCTGCTGATTGGCTTCTCCCTCCCCGTCTCCACTCAGTTGCTTTCCCTTTCCCCATTGACGACGATGACAAGATCGTCGGGGGCTACACCTGCGAGGAGAATTCAGTCCCCTACCAGGTGTCCCTGAACTCCGGCTACCACTTTTGCGGCGGTTCCCTCATCAACGAGCAGTGGGTGGTGTCCGCGGCTCACTGCTACAAGTCGTAAGTGCTGGGCCCCTGGCCACGGAGCCCCAGCCAGGCACCCTCCAGTGTGGGGGCCGCGGAGGGAGGTCGGGGAAGATCAGGGGACGGTGATGGAGAGGAGAGGCCGATGGCAGCAGCTGACGTGCCAGAGCCCAGGGTGAAGAGGGGCCTCGCTCGCCCACCTAAACCCATGCGACATTGAGGGCATCAGTCATAAAAGCAGAGAGGGATTATTCCGGGGTGGTAAGGGCCACTGGGAAAGCACCTCTTGCTGGCTGGCTGCACATTTAAAACCACATAAGAAATAGCAAGAAAAAAAAAAAAGCTCATGCTTGGGTCTTATCCCAGGACAATTAACTCAGAATTTTCAGGAAGAGGCTGTGAATATGGGTGAGTCTTTAACACTCTCTACCTCAGGTAATTCTGCAGTGTAGACAGAGCTGAGAACCACTGCCTGCACCAGAGGTTCTCAAGCCTGAGTGTGCATCAGAGACACCCATAAGACTTGTTAAATCGCTGCTTCCCATCCCCAAGGTCCTGATGCAGGAGGTCTGGGGAGGGACCGAGAATTTGTGTTTACAACAAGTTCCCAGGTGACACTGGTACTGCAGGTCCTGGGGCCACATGTGGGGCCACTGGATTCAGTCGTGCAGAGTGGTGGCGCTCACCAGGCCAAGAAGGAAGGGAGTGGAAGTCAGTGTGTAGCGAGCAGGGGCACGGAGGATGACGAATGCCTCAATGAAGAAGCTTCAAGTGGCCCTTCTGTGCCCATGCGCTGGGTGCCCTAGGGGGTGTGGGACAGGATGCTGGACGCAGGTTGATGGCAGCCCCTGGCTGGATCCCTTCGCTCACCCCACCCCACCGCCACCCGCCTCTGACGCAGAGAGACCGTGGGTCTCACACCTGCATGGACGCCCTGCCCCTAGAGACACTGCCACACACCCCGCCCAGGCCTCGGGGTGGCCGTGAGCAGGAGGCTTGAGGACCGTGGGCAGCGCGGGGCGGGTGCAGCAGGCTGCAGAGAGGAGGGTTCACCGCGCCTCCCGTCCCTACAGCCGCATCCAAGTGAGGCTGGGAGAGCACAACATCGAAGTCCTGGAGGGGAACGAGCAGTTCATCAACTCGGCCAAGGTCATTCGCCACCCCAAATACAGCTCCTGGACCCTGGACAATGACATCATGCTGATCAAGCTGTCCTCACCCGCCACCATCAACGCCCGGGTGTCCGCCATCTCCCTGCCCAGCGCCTGTGCTGCCGCCGGCACCGAGTGCCTCATCTCCGGCTGGGGCAACACCCTGAGCTCCGGCTGTGAGTGGGACCCTTCGCCGCCACCTCCCTCTGTCCTTGAGTGCTCCAGAACCAAGCATGCCCCTGAACTCGAACCCTTTTGCTTCCAGGCCGCAAATGCGTGTCTAGTGTCTACTGCGCACAGGGCTCTGTACCCAGTGCCAGAGAGACACAGGGTCTCGGGGACTCGGCTCCTAGAATCAGGAGAGGACAAATAGGGACCTTGCCGTGATCACGTCCGGGGAGGGGTTCAGCAGCTAGCGTTCTGGGAGCCGGGGCTTGGGTTCCTGGGGTCCTCTCCTGGGGCAGCCCTCAGGGTTCAGCACTACGTCGCTGTCCCCCATTCTGGCCTGACTGATGTTTCTTCTTCCCAACCTCTTCCTGCTCCTCAAAGCCAACTACCCGGACCTGCTGCAGTGCCTGAACGCGCCCCTGCTGAGTGACGCCGAGTGTCAGGCCGCCTACCCTGGGGAGATCACCAGCAACATGGTCTGCGCCGGCTTCCTCGAGGGCGGCAAGGATTCCTGCCAGGTGATTTGAGCCCCTGCCACCCCAAAGGAAGGGAGGAAGGCTCGTTTGGGCTTCGTGACGTCTCCTTAGTAAGAACAGAGAACGGGCCACACAGACAAGGGTGTGGAGCCACACAGCCGACCGGAGCAGGTTCAGAGTAAGCATAGCTGTATTCCTCCTTGTCTCCCTCTTCATGCAACTCGTCCCTCCTTCTCCCCAGGGTGACTCTGGTGGCCCTGTGGTCTGCAACGGAGAGCTCCAGGGCATCGTCTCCTGGGGCTATGGCTGTGCCCAGAAGGACAGGCCTGGAGTCTACACCAAGGTGTGCAACTACGTGGACTGGATTCAGGACACCATAGCTGCCAACAGCTAAAGCTACTCCCAAGTCCCTCTGTGATCACAATGCCAATAAAGACGTGACTTTGCACTCACTGCCAGTGTCTGTGCCTGTTCCTTCCAGCACTCTCCCTCTGGGAAACACCCTCTTTCTGAGATGACACAGGGCTGTGCCCCTCAGGGGGCTCTACTCATCTCTCACTCCCAAAACGTGCACATGGTGCACTGGATTGGCAGTGCACAGAGAGATGGAATCCAAAATATGATAGCAAGCAGGGAGCAAGGGGCTGTTTTCTAGAGAAAAAATTATATCTCAGAAATTTGGTGTTGAAGAGGTTTCTTGACCTTGGTACTTCTGTGGGTCTTGGATGTGCTAATGTGTGCACACGTCAGCTCCGGTTTGCAAGACCTCACTGCCAACTTCGCCTCTTTGCACCCAGATGCACAAACCAGGGAAGCCCAGCACTGCCGGGCCTGGCTTCTCCCACGCCCCCTCATGCCCTTGCTAGCCCAGCTGTGCTCCCCCGGTGCAGACGGCCTGCTTTGAGAAGGCCCCTCTGGCCCCACTGCCCAAGGATGAGCTCGGGTGTCTGGAGGGGAAAGAGAAATCCCCGGGTCTCCATCTCTCATGCTTCTGAGAAATCCGCCATTTGTTCACCCCATGTAATAATACCAATACGCATACACCATCCCTAGAGCCTTACAGACGTTTTCACATTCAGTTTCTCTCCCCTCTGGGGTGGGTTATTAAATCCAGAGGTGCAGATAAGAAAGCAGGTTCAGAGCAGCAAGCTTGGTACAGAGCCTTGTGCACAGTGGTCGCTAGAAATGTATTTGCAGCCTGGAAGCAAAAGGGTTCAAGTTCAGGGCCATGCTTGGTTCTGGAACATGTGAGTTAGTTTGCCCATGTGCCACACCCAGCAGATGGCCCATCTGGGGTTTGAGTCCTCCATGCCCGGCTCCAAAGCCCTGCTCTCTCTACTGTTTCATGCCCTGCTACAACTGTGCTCTGAGCTGTCAGCTCTTATATTCAACATCTCTCTAGCCGAGTGTCACCAGCACCCAGCAGCCCACCCCAGGCCTCCAGGGGGCTCCTCCCGACGGCTGCCTTGCACGCAGCATGACTGCATAACTTCCCAACCTCCCTCGGCGTTCACAGTGGAACCCAAGCTCCCAGGGAAATGCAGGATTCTCCTTGCTCTGCCCCTGCCTGCAAGTCCTGCCTGGGACCTCCCCAGCCCTCTCCTGCATGGCTCCCCTCCATTGCCCAGAGTCCTGGTGGGCCACCCAGCAAGCCCAGACCCCAGGCCTCTGTCCCTGGACACTAGGGCTCCCTCAGACTGGATACCCTTCCCAACCTCCCCTTCACCCTCTTCAGAAAAGTCTTTCCAGTCTCCTCCTCCTGCCTGCATCCCTGGGCTGGCCCCACTGGCTCTGGGGTATGAGTCAGGAGTCCTCCTCTGCCCCCACCTGCTTCAGTCACAGTCCTGCTCGAGCCACGTAGGAGCAATGGCTGTGTGCATCGTGTCACTCCACTGTGAGCTCCTCTGAGGAGGAAATCTCGCCTTCCTCACCCTGGTATCTCCAGTGATTAAACAAAGCCTAGAATATAACAAGCACCTAGGGATGGAAGGGACAAAATGTGAAATAGGAGTGGGTGGAAACGGACTGAGAAAAGAAACTTCCAGAAGAATGGTTCTCAGAGAGTGGTCCCTGGACCAGCAGTACCAGAATCACCTGGGAATTCAGGAGAAATGCAAATGCTACCCCCGCACCTACTGAGTCAGAAATTCTGGGTTTGGGCCCAGCAACCCGCATCTTAACAAGTCTTCCAGGTCATTCTCGTGCAAGCGGAGACTTGAGAACCAAGGTGGTGGAGATATCCCTGGACCAGTAGTTCTGTGAGAATAACAGCAGCTAACATTTCACTGTCCCTAGCCGAGCACCATGATAGACCCTCACAGCTGCTATCTCATTTACTTCTCACAACAACCCCATGAGGTGTGCATTATTATTATTATTATTATTTTCATTTTACAGACAAGGAGGCTGAGCGTAGTGACCAGGAGGAGGCGTAGTGACCAGCCCCCGGTCTCTTAGCCACAGAGGCTCTGGTGGGCTCCAGGAGGTGGGCTTCGCTGAGCCGTGGCACATGCCAGAGCCCCGGAACTAAGTAGGGAGTCTTGGGTGAAGGTTTCAGCTCCTCCTCTTCACCACTGGGCCACTCACTTTAGCCTCTTCAGGTTTCAGAAGCTCCCCAACTGCGAACATGGTGAGAAAGCATTTAGGTTGAAATGAGTCTGTTAACATACTGGAAAGCTTTCAAGAATTGCACATGCGTATAATGTTATTTGCACGTCACCCCCAACGCACACCTTGAGAAAGGCACAGGGGTAAGTAACCCTGCTTCCCCCACTCACCCCTGCAGCCTCTGCACGTTCTTCTCGCCCCCTCAAGTGGCCAAGCTCAGATTGCAGCGATGTGAGTCCAAAAAGTAAGGAAAGGCTGCCCCCTGCTGCCGAGCGGGTGAGTGACTCCAACTTGATACCCGCCTAATGCGTCTATGCCCCTTTAAGAGAAAAGAATGCTCTAGGCTCACTTGAGCATAGCAAAACTGGGACACACTCCGTCAAGATTAAAAGAAACTACGATGCCAATACCAAACGGGTGTTATTCCTGGTAAGGCCAGTGTGGGTGAAGGCCCCCAGCTAGGTGACTAAAGGAAACTAACTTACAGGGTAAATTGTTGATAGGCAAAGGGGATGAATAAGACAGAAAAGCATGCAGAAATAAATAAAAATAAACGATGTGCCCCAACGAGGACAGGTAATAAAGAAGAGGCCTTGCCCCCTTCCAGTGGATGAAAGCCATCGACCTTTCATTGGGGCATTTGGTAGAGTATTGTGAGGTCTGTCACTATTAATGAGGTAAATAAACAGGCTCCTCTTTCCTTTTGTCTCTAAATTCTAAGGGCCATTCCCTGGCACCCACTTTGTGGCACCCCTACACAGCTCTTTGATGTTCTCCAAGGCTTATCCCTGCCTTGTTCTAGTCAGGGGACAAGCTATGGGTCCCAACTCTGGCACTGTGACAGAAATGCCCAGAAGAATTCTATTTGGTTATTTAAATATAAATTATTAAGCCCAGTCCTAGAGACTTTAACTCAATACGCCACAAGGACTGCTCAGAAATCCGCATTTTTCACAAGCTTCCTAAGTAGTTGGAGCTCCACTGAGCAAATTCAGGGCCATGAAACAGCTTTTTACATCAACTGATATTCTTTGGAAAAAATAATGGCTTTGTAAATTAAACAAGTAGCTTTTTTACAAGTAGCAGATATATTTTCAAATATTACTTAAAACAATGTTGTGTTGTTTTTCTTTTCTTTTTGAATTGTATTAATTTAAAGTTTGATTTTAAATAGATAATATAGATATATAGACCCCAAATGGAAACAACCCAATGAAGTTGACATTGAGAAAAGTAACTTTGACTTCCACTATGTTTCTGTCTACTTCACACATCCTTAATAGGCCATCTCTTTTGTCAGTTTCTTTTGCATCCTCTCAGTGCTTTGGTATGAAGAATCAACTAAACAAAAGTAGAATCCTTATTCCTCCCCCTTTGTTAGACAAAAGGTAGCATACAGTTATGCTATTTTGCAGCTTGCTGTTTTCCAGTCAATAATGTATTTTAGAGGGCTTTCCACAGAAATATAAAACATCTTCATTCTTTTTTAGCATGGAATATTATCCCATTGTGTGAACATACCACGGTCCATTTTCCAGTCCCTCACTGATGGGCACTTGTGCTTTTTCCTGTCTTTGTTTTGCTATTCTAAATGGTGCAAATATTTTACACACATTTTTTATTTCTATGAAAGAATATGTACAGGATAAATTTTCATAGATGGGATTTCTGGATGAAAAAGCAAATGCATTTGTATTCTTTATAGATACGTCCAAATTTCTCTCCGTAAGCATTTATTGTCTTGTGCTCCTACTAGTGATCAAGATGTAAAGTGCTTATTTCACCACAAACTAGCCAGTAGAACAATCATCCATAACTTGATTTTGTCTGTCAAATTAGTGGAAAGTAGTATTTTGATATAGTCTTATTTTATTTTACCATTGGGAGGGTTTTCTTGTTGCTGTTGTTCCTGATAGTTAAACACCATTTAGATTTCTTTTTCTCTGAACCATCTGCTCTTTGCCCATTTTTATTGAACTGCTGGGTTATTTTCTTACTGATTTCTAGAAGTATATCATATATTGAGGAGATCAGCCCTTATGGTAAGAATTACAAATATTTTTCCCAGGTTGTTATTTATCTTTTGATTCTGTTTATATTTTACCATGCAAATGTGTCAATATTATGTAGTCAAGTTTGTTTGTCATTTTTTTTTTTTTCTTCTGGACTTGAAGTCATAGCTTAAAAGGCAATGAAAGGAGGCACCACCTAGTGAAATATATCTAGGCCACTTAAGGACAGCTTGAATGTCAGGGTCATCTTGTGCAAGGAAACTATACTATCTACCAACAACTTAGAATCTCTCTACTCCTCAGGAAAGAGACAGCAAAGACGGTGACCGTGATTCTGTGGCCTCGCAGTTATATCTGAATGGTTTTCACACTTTCTCTACTGATCCAGCCTCCATCCATTTCCCAACTTTCTTTACCTGCTCTGATTTCTGAGGCCAAGAAGGTCGGGAGAGCTGACGACACAGGGGGTCTTCCCTCCCCCACACCCCGTCCTGGAAAGGCAGCCAAGCCCCCCTCTCCATAGCTCATGGTCAAACCAGAGGACCCCAGACCCCAGCTGACCAACCCAGAGGCTCCGAGGTGGCCGAGCGACAGGTTAGGTACTGAGGGTCTCATTCTCAGAGGGAAGGTGACACACAGCGAGGGGCAGGGCCAGGGCAAGTGGGGGGCTGCGCCTTCTGGACAGGGAGGCTCCCCAGTATGACGACAGCTTGGAGGGGGCGGATACGGAGGAGACCAGCCCCTCGGCAGACAGCCTTACAAAGACTCCCAGCTCTGAGGAGTCAGAAAGCCCTGAAGACAGGGCGTGGGGGTGAAGAGGGAACCCTAAGCCTGGTCCGTACCCCATACCACCACCTCACATGCTAAGGGGTGACGTCCACCCCCCCACCCCCGTGCCGTCCTCCACTGCCCTCAAAAGACCAGCTGCTCTGGTGGTTTCTCCCAGCCTTGGGAGGCGGGCCCATGGGAGGAGCCCTTTTTGTACAAAGCTGTAACGTTGTGGGGACAGGGGGCCACGGTGATTCAACTCCACGGGAAACCTTTACAAAAACCTTTGTGCCCGTCCCCACACCCCATTCCCCCTACTTTTCTCCTGAGTCCCAGGCCCAAGTGTGGTTTGGTTCAAAATGCCTCCCTCACCCCGGACCACAGGTCAGACCAAGGCCCTGGACAAGGACAAGATGAGAACCAAAGCTTCCCAGGCAGAGAGAACCAGACGTAAGAAGAATGCCTCAGAGGACCCACAAGTAACAGACTCAGGGACGAGGTCTGTGGGAAGGTGCATGGGAGGTGACCAGCTCTACAGAGGACTCGGAAGAAGCCAGAGGTCTCCATGGAAGGTTCTGGGCCCTGCCCTCCTCTCCAGGCTCACATCTTTGATGGACCCTCAGAAAGGGAGCATCTGTGTGGGGCATCCTCTGAGAAAGGGGCCTGGGACTCTCTGGGTGGACCCTGCCATGCTCTGCGGTCCAAAAGTGAAAAGCTGAAAATGTTCTGTGCAATGACCATAAAGCACAAGAGGGGCTGCTTAGCCAGGCGCCCTCCCCTCTCCACGCCTTGAATTTGTTTTCCTCCTTGACCATGTCACTGTGTGAACACTCAAGTTTTCTTTGGAGAAGGCACCAGGCTTGCAGTTGTAGGTAAGATTTTCCAAGTCCCTTGTGGGGGAAAGCAGGTCCAAAGTGTCCATTTTAGAGTAGCCATATTCTGATGTGCCAACTATGACTACACCTTCGGCCCAGGGACCAGGCTAATGGTTGTAGGTAAGGCTGGAGGTCTCTGGGTGGGGTGCCACGAGGGAGGGCTTTGCCTTAGGAAACGTCAAAGGGAAGGAGGATCACCTCCTGGGTCCTGGTTGAGGGAGATGTCATCTCACGTCTGGGATTGAATTCATGGGAAGTTCTCGGGGAGGGTGGATGCCCCCAGGCAGCCCCGGAGGCTCATGGCAGAAGCGGAGCTGAGCCTGGGGTGACAGGCAGGGGAGGAAAGGGGACGGTGCTGCCTCTCCATGTGCACCCCCAGATGGGGTAGGGAGACAGCCCGGGGTGATGGATGAGCCGAGACACCTGGCTGTCTTCTTCATCGGCAGAGGCTCTCTGCAGGGGCTTCGTATCTTCCTCCAGATTTCAGATTTGGAGGCCTTTTCTCACCTTCCCGGTCCTGGGCAAGCTCTAGAAGGGTGTCGTAGTGCCTGAAGCAGGGCTGGTGGCTTTGTGAAAGAAAAGATCCATAAACGCCCAACCTCTGCCTGAATCCCAGCTGTGCGCAGCAGAGAACGGGAGGTTTTGAAGTGGCCCCTGGAGGCTGTGATCTGGAAACAAGCTCTATTTTGGGGAGGGAAGCCAGCTCACTGTTGTGGGTGAGTAAGTTATGGCTGGGGGGGCCGGGAACCTGCAAGGAGCGGCTGGGATCCAGATGGAGCCTTTGCCTTGGGTGCTTAGGTTCAAGCGTATTTTTGTCAGGAAGATCTGAATTCTTGCCTTGATGCAGACAAGGAGGGGACAGCCCCCATCTCCAGTGTCTCATGGCCTGGCTGTGCCAAGCCTGGGATCCCTTCTCAGGAGGCAGGCGGGCTCAGCCAGGAAGGGATCACCTTATCCAAGTCCTGTCTCCTTAGAGGATGCCCATGGTGGCTGTGAGAGACAGGAGAGCCTCTGACCTTACCAGCTGCATGGTCCTGCCATTGTGCTCCCTCATGCAGGAAGGAGAGGGACACGGGGGAGGGAACCTGAGAAGTCACACAGGGCCTGATGGGTCCTCTGACCACGGCTTTTTAGATTGCATCATTGTCCAACTATCCACTTCCCAGAGTTAAAAAATCTCCTAAGGGATGGGGGGGGGGCTGGCAGGTGGACTTGGGGAGGCAGGGATGGAAGCGGCACGTGGCAACTTTTCCTGCGGGGCTTTCATGTTGTGCAACTAATGAAAAACTATTTTTCGGCAGTGGAACCAAACTCTCCGTGTTGGGTACGTAAAAGGCTTCCTTCGGGGTAACATATTGCAAGGTTGGGGTTCTGCGAGGACTCCCTGGAGGGGGCAGGGACCTAGAAGAGGTCGGGAGAGTGTGGGTGAGTGAGTACGTGCAAAAGCCGCTGGGAGCTCTGTGTGCAAGGGCCATGCCAGCTCCGCTGGGGTTTGCCACACTGGCGAGCCACTGTGGAGCAATCAGGCACAGCACTTTGGAGAGGGGACTCGACTCTCCGTCCTAGGTAAGGTGCAGACCAGGGTGGTAGGGCCGTTGTCCCTTGCAGCCAGGTCTCTGCTTCTCCTCCTGGTGCTGGTGGAAGGGGGTTGGGTAAACTCTTTTACCCCACAGGGCTGCGTCTGCCATCCTTTTTGGGGTGGCTTGGTCAACTGCTGTATTTCGCTTCTCTAAGCCTTCAGTCTGTAATCTGCCTCTTCACCCCTTTCTCCGTTCATCCTTCCTTCTTAGGTGCATGGACCTGCTCCTCCAAAACCCCTTCGTCTTACCCCTCTTGCCCCATGGTATGCTGAGGCCTTATTCTGGATAGAATTCCTTTAGTCCAGAGCCATGGGTCCAGGCAGAGAAAGGCAGCCACCCTGCTGTCAGAGAGCTAAGACTTGCTCCCTGGCTGGGGACGTCCGGGTGGGTTTTGTCTCAGCCACCTGCAGCTGTGCTCCAATAACTCGCCCCTCCACTTCGGGCTGGGCACCAGGCTCACCGTGACAGGTATGGGGGCTCCCTTCCTGACGGGGGGGTGCCCAAGTTCAACTGCAATGATCAGTCGCTGTGAAGGGAATCAGGGGTAAGGACAGAGTTCAGAGCCCTCCCCCCATTCCCACCATGAGCCCTGTGCCCTCTCCTACCTTCCCGGAGCTTGTCCCGCTTGTTGGTCTGGTGTGTGCATTGCCGCTGCCCGCCGCAGAGCTCCTTGCTTAGTCTTCGGGGCTGTGTGTCTCCTGGCCTCTTCATTGTTCTCTAGAACATCTCTCATCTCTGCATTCCTAGTGGGTATGTTGTTTCACTTTCCCGTTTTTTTATTGTTGCCATTTCTTTTTCATTTTTTCCTTCCCCTTTTAACTCCAATTCTGCACTGGTGACTCTTGTTGGCGATCGCTCTGTCTTCTGCGTTAGAGTCTTTCCCAGCGGCTACCTCCAGCACAGCGCTCTGTTCTCGCCTTCGTCTTCCTCCTTCTCGTTCTGTACCGGTCTTCGGAGATCCATATATGTCTTCTTGAAGTGGTTTGAAGGATCGGGAGGCAGTGGGGACCACATTGCTGAGACCAGGTGGCTTGAGGGCAGAGGCTCCTGTCACAGCATGGCGGGCAGTGCAGGTGCCTCGGGGGAGTCTCTGGGGTGCAGTGTGCTCGGCAGGGCTGAGGGAGACGGCTGAACAAACTGTTACCACTGGACACTGACCCCATCTTAGCAAGACATGAGGTATAAAGAAGAGAAAATAGATAGCAGAGCCCATTTTCTCAATCTCCGAGGTCTATGTTGGGATAACAGGGTAAGGGGCTCTTTGGGAAACCCTAACACAGCCATAACCATGCTGGGGAGGGGCAGACAGGTGGGCGGAGTGGAGCTGGGATGGGACGGGGTCCGGGCTGGAGACACAGGCAAGGCTAGAGGACTGGGACTTGCAGAATCACCAACCAGGATTGGGGGGTTGGGCAGGCACTGCTCTGCCGGTGGGGACTCATGCCAAAAAGTTTGATGGAAAATACAAATCATGAGATTCAAAAGCCTGGGCTCAAGGGTTGGGGAGGTGCAATTTGAGAAGTAAGTCACGCTGCTTGAGCTCTCTAAGTCATAAAAATGGAAGGGACTAGCTTATTTTAAATTCTTGGTAAATGATTCAATCTATCATGACTATCATTTTCGTTCCGGTTGTTTATTATCACTCGGTCACAGGGTTTGCCTTTTTCCAAACCTACGTCTCCATTTTCTCATCAGAAATATTTCTGAAATTTGAATAAAGGGGACACATCTGGGCTGGCCACTGTTCTGTGTCAAAAGCTCACTCCCCTGCTCAGAACAGCCAAATGGGGGGCACAGTAAATTCTAGCAAAAGGGAAGGTATGTGAAGGACGGATGTGGTTTCTTCCACTCCTTACATGTCTTCAGATGAGGCCATTTCTTCCGATAATCCCAGAAATTCTTCCTCTCCCATCTGTCAAGGATGAAAAGGGCCCAGGGTATTGCAATGTAGACCCTCTGCTGAAATAGCCCTCGGACTTTGCAATTTGTTCATGCTCACCAAACAAACTTTTACGAATGCAAAGCCTGGCTGTAAACTAGGATTCCAAACCTGGCCAGGTAGGTTTGTAGGACACTGGAAAAAAGAAAAAGCTCAACAGATTAACATTGCCTTCCCCAGGATGACAGCCGCCATCCCCTCCCAGTGTAGGAGTAAATGTGGAGCATCAGACAGCATGTTAGCTAGCCAGAGGCAACGTGGCTCTTCAAAGCAGGTTACGTGCAGGGGGAAAAGTGAGTCGGGTAGAGTATATAGAAAAAATATACTCAAATGTAACAGGATAATTGTCTCTTCTGGTCAAGAAATGCTAATTGTAACATAGGGTATCACCCAAACAGAAAGAAAGAAAGAAAGAAAGAAAGAAAGAAAGAAAGAAAGAAAGAAAGAAAGAAAGAAAGAAACGAAAGAAACGAAAGAAAGAAAATGATAATTAGAAAAAAATCAATGAATCAATGTTGTTGTTATACTCATGCTTATGAAAGTCTACTGCCTCCAAATTCTGGCTGATTTCAATCCTACAATGACTGTTTCTAAGTTTGAAAAATTAGGTAGTCATGTACCAAGCAGGGCTTTGAACCAGGAAGAAAGATAGACACGCATTTTTGATTGCTGATCAAACAAGTCTCAGAGTACTAGACACCGCAAAGAAAGCCAAGAAAATGAGGCCACAGTGCCACTTAGGGAGATGGGGGAGCTGGTAGGCAGGTGCATCTGTGGGATAACTCAGAAAGAAGAGGGAAAGCCGAGGGACAGCAGCAACACACACTGGGATGGTGGCCCAGAGCAATCAGGACCCTCTAGGACACAGCTGTGCTTCACCGTGACCCTCCCAGCCCTCTCTCTCACACACAGAGCCCCTGCCAGGCCCAGGCACTCTCAGACAGCCCTGGCCCCATCCCCTCTTCCCTTTCCAGAGGACCTGAAAAAGGTGACCCCACCCAAGGTGGCTGTGTTTGAACCCTCGGAAGCAGAGATCTCCCGGACCCACAAAGCCACACTGGTGTGCCTGGCCACAGGCTTCTACCCCGACCACGTGGAGCTGAGCTGGTGGGTGAACGGGAAGGAGGTGCAGAGTGGGGTCAGCACGGACCCCCAGCCCTACAAGGAGCAGCCCAGCCTCAACGACTCCACCTACTGCCTGAGCAGCCGCCTGAGGGTCTCAGCCGCCTTCTGGCACAATCCCCGCAACCACTTCCGCTGCCAAGTCCAGTTCTACGGGCTCACCAAGGAAGACGAGTGGACCCAGGACACAGCCAAACCTGTCACCCAGAACATCAGCGCTGAGGCCTGGGGCAGGGCAGGTGAGCGGGGCCTGGGGAGGCCCAGGAGGAAGTTGGCTCAGGCCCCCAGAGGCAAATGAGAAGATCCAGGTAGAAAACCAGAAAGATTAGATACAGAAAAAAAGGAGGGGCAGGGGACCAAAGCCCACCATGAAGGTGCGATGGGCACCTGTGGCTATTCCTCCCCCAGATCCTCAGCCCAAGACCGCCTGGCAGCCGGGCCCCTCTTTCTCCTTGGCCTGTGCAGCTCAGCATCTGAGCAGTGCCCCCCCCCCAGCCCCGTTAGTGCTGCCGCGGGCCCTGGATTCCAAGGGTCATGGAGCTGACAGTGGCAAAACAGAGGGAAGCTGGTGCCGGGCCTCGGAGTCTGTGCCAATTGCAAGGCTGGCTTAATTTTTAATCTGCTTAATGAGATGGGGTCTCTCATCCATATTTCTTCCCACTTTTTCTTGCAGACTGTGGCTTCACCTCAGGTAAGTGAGCCTCTCCTTTTCTCTCTCTCTCTCTATCTCCCGTGGTCTTGGCTCTGGAGCCAGGGCTGGGAGAACCCATGGGCGCTGGGGCTGGGGGAGGCCAGAGCTACCTGCATAGAGGTTCCTACCTGGTCACCCTTCCTGCCAACAGTGTCCTACCACCAAGGGGTCCTGTCTGCCACCGTCCTCTACGAGATCCTGCTGGGGAAGGCCACCCTGTATGCTGTGCTGGTCAGCGCCCTCGTGCTGATGGCCATGGTAGGCACAGGGCGGGATGGGACAGGCAGGTTGGAGGTGACACATGACACCCAGCAACTCATAGCCAGGAGTATAGAAACCCTGCCAGGACTGGAGGTGGGCAGTTGGGAAGGAGGGAGTTTCACTCAGATGGCTCAGAAGACAACTTGCACCTCTGTGTGGTCACAGTGGAAGGTCCATGCTGGGAAGGAGAAGCCGGGGTCACCTGAAAACCCAGTGTGTGAGGACCCCCACAGCTTGTCTGGTCCTAGGCCCTCCTACTTCCTCTCCATCACCACCACTCCCGATTCTTGGTAACCCCGGAAACATTTTCTTCCGTAGGTCAAGAGAAAGGACTCCTGAATCCAGCTCTGGAGGTGGAGCCAGGAGCTTCCAACCCACTGCGGAGTCAATATGCATGTTCCTTTTGCCAGCGCTTCTGAATGCTGCTCTCACCTCTCTACGTATCCCAACGCCTACCCCTGTGCTTGCGTACCTGCACGCTCACCGCTGCAACCTCCAACCCAGAGGGGCCCCTAGCGTGACTAAGTGACTGAACCAATAAAAATGTCCTGGTCTGGCCTGACTCCGACTTGTGAGTGTCTAGATGTCTCTTCTGCCATCTCTGGACTCCCTGTGACTCTCTCCACTCAGTAGAAATGAGAGGCGTTCTAGAAAAATGCAGACCCCTCACGTAAGAGGAGAGTGGGTGGATGTGAAAATGTTCTCTAATCACTCCTGAAAAGATAGAAAATAAAGTTCCCTAAAAGCGAGAATCAGCCCTATTTCCACTTCTAGAAATCCTTCACAAGTTCCCCAGTGTGGCACTGTCACCATGGTGATATAGTCCTAAGTCCTAAAGATGGCGGTTGTCCCGACCTCCTCCTTCCTCACTCTCCCCTCTCCTCTCCTCTCTGACTCCCCCCCAAGCTGCTTCCTTCAGGACATTTGCAGCCCCCTCCTCCCCTGGAGTGACACAGAACTCCTGGGTAACTCCTACTGAGCCTTAAAGATTTGGCGCTGATAGCTTCCCGTCCAAACACCCTTTCCTTTCCTCTTACTCTCCTGAGACTGAATTAAATACACCCTTTATTTGCTCTCACAGTGGCGGTGCATAAACTCCCTCATGACACTTATCACATTTGATGGAAACTACCTGCTTACTTGTCTGACAACCCCACTTGACTGTGAGCTCCTTGGTAACAAGGATGCATTTTATGATGGTGTCCTTGGGCTGCGGCATAGTACCTTGGTTCAGCATAGACACTGGGTATGTATTCATTGAATAAATGAACGAATGAATGAGTGAGTGAGTGCAAAGTGACTCACTTCAGGAGCAATCATCACCATACTGTCTGCCTGAAATAGTCATTACTCTTCCACTCATGGGACTACACCACACAGCCTTCCCTCTTTATTGAAATGCATACATGCATTGAAAGATGTGTGTGTGCATGTGTACACATGTGTACACACATGTGTACACACATATACATGCATATATTTACACACACATGCACACATTCACCCACTCTTTGAACACATACCATTCATTGCAATATGCCACCACCTACCCCCAAGAAAATGAAGGTACCCAAATGTCAGTCCCGAAGAAGCTTACCTGTGCCTAACGGGAATTGGTTATGAACAGAAAGAGCTGAACTAGGAGGCAATGCTTTGAAATAGCAGTGTGAACTGTCTACTAAAATGCAGCCAGACACTAGTTTCAATTTCTCACTGGGATAATCAGAGAAGAGTTTGGGAAGGTAGAAAACTCTTTAAAAGAAGAATCAGTCTCAGTTGTCTACTCCAGAGAAGGGCCATGCCAGTGGGAGGCAGAAACAAAAGCCCAGACAACTTGGTCAGGTACTTCTGGGTACCTCTGTTTAGCTGAGTGCAAGGTTCAGAGATAGGAGTAACAGAATTAAGGCTGAAAAGGCAGTTTGCTGCATGCCACTCTGAGAACAAACTCACATCCATGCAACCAGTACGGAGCCTCACATGTAGTAGGTGTTCACTGATGACTTGTGGAATAAATGGGTGACAAGGAGTTTAGCCTTTGTTCAGGAAGCAATGGAGAATTACAGAGGTTTCAGGGCTGCTTGTCCTGGTGCTATAAGGTGCCACCTCTTGCGCTGTGGAGTCCCCTGTTTGAGCTGCCCTTCCACCCCTGGCTCCGCCCACCCGCTTAACTATACATGCCAGCTTGAGCAGGTGGGCACAGCGAGGCCCAGAGGGGGAGACCCGATGACATAGCTGGTCTCCTTAGGGTGGTGCATGTTCCCGGGAGGGGCCTCTCTGCTCCCCCCCACCACCAGCACTGTGACGTTCCCCAAGCCCCTCCCCACCTTAATTTTACCCTGAGTTTGTCTTTCCCAAGTCTCATTCAATCAAACTAACCTCTGCCACCTGCATTTCCTACCAGTGCCCAGTGGTTGGGGGAGGGGGCAAGCAGGGAGGAAACCTTTTTGTATCATGGTGTAACATTGTGGGGACTGGGGGGGGGCACGATGATTCAGGTAAAGGAGGCGCTTTTACAAAAAGCCCTGCCCTAGAAAATATCCCCACCCAGCCCGGGGAGTGCAGCTGCCTGATGGGCAGAGGTCTCTGGAGCTGGTCCCTGCTGTGGTTTTGCAGAAGCCCGGACCCAGGGCACAGCTGTGCAACCCCTGCTCCAGACTCAGTTTCCCAGGAATGGGAAGGCCACTGCAGCAAAGTGGGATCATCATTCAGCATTTTTCATAACACTTGCCCATAATAAAGTATTTGCACACGCATTAGTTACTAAGAACTATAAAGACCCCAAGGCAAAGATACTACCCCATTTTTTAGATGAAGAAACTGAGGTCAGAGAGGTTACAGGTCATATAACTAGTAAGAGGTAGGATCTAGCCTGCAGCACTTCTCACCTCCAGCCGACCCACCATCACTAATACCCCTTCAGATTTCAAGTCTGCTGCATTGTCCCCAAGCCAAGTTGGTTCTTGTCTGCAAATTGGGGGTGGCCTCCTGCAATGCCCAGGTCACTGCGTCCAGCTACTTCTCCAGGTGGGAAGAGAAAAGCCCAGAAAGGGGAGGGAGGGTGTGCCCTCAGCCTGTGCTAAGGGAGGTGGGGAAGGAGCAGGAATTCTGGACAGCCCGTGCCACTGTGCTCCTATGCTGAGCAGTTCTTCGGGCCAGGGACCCGGCTCACCGTGCTAGGTAAGAGGGCGCTCCAGGTGGGAGAGGGAGAGGTCTGCTCAGCCTGGACGAGCCCTGAACCCTGCCTGGTTTTAGCGGAGTGGGCGCTACGCCTTCCAGGGCCCTTCCTCCAGGAAGGCAGGGGGTTTGCGCCAGGGTCCCCAGGGCTGTGCGAACACCGGGCAGCTGTTCTTTGGAGACGGCTCCAAGCTGACCGTGCTGGGTAAGGAGGCAGCAGTCCGTGCGCGGCTGGAGTGGGCTGGGCAGCCGCCTGGCTCCGCACCCGGCTGTGCTGGGAGCGCTGTCCGACGGCTGGGCGGGAACTCCTGGTTCTGGCGCTGGGACAGCGACCGCGCGCTCAGCGGTGGTGGAGACCAGGCTGAGTCCTGGACAGGAGGAGTGGGCACAGCTGGTTTTTGTCCTGGGCCTCCAGGCTGTGAGCGCAGATACTGTGTATTTCGGCCCAGGCACCCGGCTGACGGTGCTCGGTAAGCGGGGTCCTGGGGTCCGGAGGGGGGGCGGGAAGCAGGGTTGGGGGCGCCCCGGGACGCGGGGACCCGGGCGGCGCGGGTTTTTGTGCGGCGCCCCGGGGCTGTGAGCCAAAATACTCAGTACTTCGGCGCGGGCACCCGGCTGTCGGTGCTAGGTAAGCGGGGGGCCGCCGGGAGACAGGGCGCGGGGACGGCGGCCCGGGTTTTTGTGCGGGGCTCGGGGGCCGTGAACCAAGAAACGCAGTACTTCGGGCCGGGCTCGCGGCTCCTGGTGCTAGGTGAGCGCGGGCGGGCGGGCGTCTCGGGGCGGGTTTTTGTGGGGAGCCCCCGGGCCGTGCTCCGCGGGCGCGGCCCAGACCTTCGGGGCCGGGAGCCGGCTGACCGTGCTGGGTGAGTGCCCGCGGGACCCGCAGCCGGGCGGCGGCGACGGGGCGGAAGGCGGCGGTTCGGGTTTCGTGGCACCGGGTCCCGGACCCTGCGCTGCAGCCGACCGGCGCAGAGATCCAGGGACCCGGGCTGGGCGCCCGGGGTACGGGTGGCAGCTCCGGCGCTGCGAGGTTTGCGCGCGGGGCTGTGCCTCCGTGCTCCTACGAGCAGCATTTCGGGCCGGGCACCAGGCTCACGGTCACAGGTGAGATTCGGGTGTCTCCCACGGTCCAGCCCCTCGGCCCCCTGTGCGGGCGGGTGGACCGGAGCCGCGGGGGCTTGGCGACTGAGGGAGAAGGGGCTCAGCTCTGCAAGGTCCCCTTCCCGCCCCTCCCCTGCTTCGCAAAGGACTGGGGAGGGGGCGGGGGGCCTGGGTCGGGGCCTGGGCAGAGGCAGGGCCGCCTTCGATCTCTTTTTTCTGAAGTATTTGGGGACAAGGTGAGCAGAGAGAGAAGGAAAAGATTTGTTAGAGTTCTGGGAGCCTCTAGAAAGGAGAAAAAGACAGAGGGGAAAACCTGCTTTGGGGAATGGGGGTATAACTGCTGCTCAGAGGGGAAAAGAGTCCCCCGGAGGGCCGGGGGCAGCGGGAAGAGCGGGCACCAGGCCCCACGGTCCTTCAAAGGGGCAGTCTGGTGGGCGCAGGGGGCAGAAATCACTCAGGGGAGGCTAGGAGGGCGCAACTGAACAGAAGGAGGAAAAGGCCACCAAACAAGAACGGAACAGAGAGTCCGAAAAAATAGACAGATAAACATGAGTCAGTAAAGAAAAGAATTCCAAGTTGCAGTTCAGCAATGTTGATGTAGACTTAGATTTAAAACCCCCATTCCTCCTCTGTCCTGTTCCTCCTAAACTTCAGATCCCTGGGACAAGGGTCGGGCCCAGCATCCACGCCTGCCCATGGGCTGGTCAGCAACGGGGTGCTGGCCTGAGGGCAGGGGACAGAATCCCAGCCACTCCTGGCCACTTACCCCCAGGTGCATCCTCCCTCTGCCCTAGCCTGAAACCTCCCTCATCACACTCAGTGTTCTCGGTACCGGCCCAGATAGTGCAGGGAGCTCATTTGCCGCAGACACGTTAAATTGCAGACATTTTGCCTGTTGGGTAAGGAAAATTCCCCGGAAGATCTTAGGCTCTTGGAGCTAGAAAGGCTCCCTAAGCATCCCGTGGTGCTGAGACCCCCTGAGGCCAGAAAAGGGAAATAACTCACAACAATGGTGCATTAACCTGGATTCTCTGACAACTACAACCACACAACAATGGGCGCATTTGTAGTTAGACTGTCATTAGGCTGGGCTCCCTTCAGTTCAGCCAGGAAGTGTGTCCTGCAGAAATGCTGAGGTCCTGCGGTCCGCTGGGGTGGATAAAATATAGGCTTCTAAAGGTGAAGTTCCAATCCCTGGCTTCTTAGTGATCGGGTGACCTTGGGCAAAAATTAATGAGTGAACTTCAGTTTTCTCAACAATACAATATAATTAATAATTCCTACCACTTACTAGCACTGTCAAGAACAAAAGAGAAGCAAGGCATAGAGTAGGGAGACTGCTGTAATTCAATGCTTCTCATCCCCAGCTTCCCCTAGGAGGTCACGGGGAGGGGTTGGAGGTGCAGCCCAGTGCCAAAGGAGGGGCAGGATTTGGATTGTGGAAATGGAGTGAAGGGTGTTGGGGGGGGGGACTGGAGAGAGGACAGGTAGCCTTCACAGTTGTGTCTGAGGCTAGTCTAACAGAGCAGAACACAGCAAACAGCAGCTCACATAGGCGAGCCCCCCACCCCCTGAACCCCCCCGCACCCCGCAGGGACTCACAGCATGGAAAGGTAATTGACCCTGGCCCCACCTGGAGTTGTACAGGTGGTATATTGGAGTGTAATGTGGGTCTGCTTGTGTTTGTCATGCCTGTTGCATCCATAAATATCCTACAGAACAGCCCACATGGTCAAGGGACAGCTTTAACTTTTATAATAGGGACTGATGTCTGCTGAGTGAGGAGATCAATGGGGCACATTCCCTGGTGCCCCTGGAGGGCTGGAAGAATCCCAGGGCCAGGGTCTTTGAGATAAGAGTGAAAATTATCAGGCTGAGAGCAGGAAGACTGATGGAGCCTGAATATCACCATTTCAGCCCTGGCTTGGCCAGTGAAGAGCTGGAAGCATGGCAGCAGTTAGCAAGGCAGGAGTTGGGGGCAGGGAAAGCTGGCAAGGATGGGAGGCAGGACCAGCTACAAAATGTTCAAGCCCAGCTCAAAATGAAAATGCAAAGGTTCATTTTTAAAAAATAAAATGGATTCAGAATTTCAAAATGGCAAAAGCAGAGCATTCAGCCAAGCTGGGGCCCTTCTAAGCATGTGGCCCTCCGTGACTGCTCAGAGCGCACACCCAGGGAGCTGCCCTGGGAGGGGGTCACATCCTAGAAATGGCTAGAAGTGCCAGAACAAATGTTTCCTCTGTAATCCAGGAGACTAGGACTAGGTTCTCATAAGAATAATATTTGTTCATTTTAACAGAATTGCTCAGAAGCAAAAACAATCCATGGAAAGCAAAGGATAGGTTGAAGTGAGGGGAGGGCAGGCCTAGGAAAAGTGGGTCAGCAGATGGGAAGGGCTGAGGATGAAGGGGATGAAAGGTCACCTGTCACCCCTACAAACCTACAAGGGAGAGGCCTAGGAAAAAATCATATCAGTACAACTAGTGACAAGAAGTTGCTCTAATGATCTCAAATGCTTATTTAGGAACTTGCTAGTACAGAAAAGCGTAACATTTGGAAGCAAAGGGACAAAGATGGGTGAAGAATCCCTGAACTTGAAACAAGGGGAGATAATTATCTACGTGAGCTGGGGAAACTCAGGTGTGCCTGGGGGAAGGGCAGGAATAAGATGACTTCATGCGCCACAAAAAGTCAGAAAACCTCATGTTCTCATGAACACACGGTACGACAAAAGGGTGTCCTCACAGGGGGTGCATAAAAATAGGCCATCCGTGTATTGTCAGCTAAAGAAAGCCCACAGTCTCAAAATGTCCCCCTCATCCCCATCTCCTTTCGTCCTTAGCACCTTAGATTCAGACACAGATAACCTGACTCAGGACCAGGCTTTCCCATCGTATGGCTTAGTCTCCACACCCTTTCTGCGAAGTCAGGGTGGTGATTGTCACTTCACAAGCAGAAACAATGATGTGGAGAAAGTGCTGTCCTAACGTCACCATTGCTGGGCAAAGACAGTTCTAGGATTTGGGTCCTGTTATTGCAATTCCGTAGGTGCCCTGTTTAAATGACTACGGGATAAAATGGCGAGACGTTGGCAAGCACGTTTATTGATGGAGAAGAAATCAAATGACGTCGATGAAGAGACATTATGCAGAGTGTTGGGCTGTGCCGTTCATGATGCCACCTGAGGGGTGGGAGGGAGAGACAGTGGGCAGTGCCCATCGGAACGTGAACGCAAAGGACAGGAAAGGAAGAGGGAGAACAAGGAGGAACGGGACGGTGGCCCCAGAGCAATCAGGACCCTCTAGGACACAGCTGTGCTTCGCCGTGACCCTCCCAGCCCTCTCTCTCACACACAGAGCCCCTGCCAGGCCCAGGCACTCTCAGACAGCCCTGGCCCCGTCCCCTCTTTCCTTTCCAGAGGACCTGAAAAAGGTGACCCCACCCAAGGTGGCTGTGTTTGAACCCTCGGAAGCAGAGATCTCCCGGACCCACAAAGCCACGCTGGTGTGCCTGGCCACAGGCTTCTACCCCGACCACGTGGAGCTGAGCTGGTGGGTGAACGGGAAGGAGGTGCAGAGCGGGGTCAGCACGGACCCCCAGCCCTACAAGGAGCAGCCCAGCCTCAACGACTCCACCTACTGCCTGAGCAGCCGCCTGAGGGTCTCGGCCGCCTTCTGGCACAATCCCCGCAACCACTTCCGCTGCCAAGTCCAGTTCTACGGGCTCACCAAGGAAGACGAGTGGACCCAGGACACAGCCAAACCGGTCACCCAGAACGTCAGCGCTGAGGCCTGGGGCAGGGCAGGTGAGCGGGGCCTGGGGAGGCCTCACTGGAGGTTGGGTCAGGCCAGTCCCTGGGGGAATGGGAAGATCCAGGCAGAGACAAGACCAAGTTCAGAAGAAAGCCTGAGTGGGTGGGAGGGGAGGGTAAGGGCCCACAGTGCCAGCAACCCATATGCATGTCCTTCCCGCGAGGCCCAGGCCCTCGGCCCTCAGAGCTGTGCTGAGAGTCCCCAGGACGGCCCAACAGCCCAGCACCTGAGTGGCGAGCCTCCCGCCCCTTGAGGGGTCCTCGTTTCCTAAGATCATGATGACCAGGTCCCTGACACTGGAGCCACACGGGGAGACAGCACCAGGGCTCTCACAGCAGGCTGACCGTACCATCTGACATGCATGTGCCTATGGCCTGGGTCTATGACTTTAATGTCTATAGCTGAAGGCTCAGTGTCCTTAAGAAGTGGCATTTCTTCATCCATTTCTCTCCTTCTTTTTTCTTGCAGACTGTGGCTTCACCTCGGGTAAGTGAGCCTCTCCTTTCTCTCTCTATATCCCCTGGTCTTCGCTCTGGAGCCAGGGCAGGGAGAACCCAAGGGCACTGGGGTTAGGGGAGGCCAGAGCTATGTTTGTACAGGCTCCCACCTGTTCTCTCTTCCTGCCAACAGCGTCCTATCAGCAAGGGGTCCTGTCTGCCACTGTCCTCTATGAGATCCTGCTGGGAAAGGCCACCCTGTATGCTGTGCTGGTCAGCGCCCTCGTGCTGATGGCCATGGTAGGCGGGAAGGGACAGGCAATGGGAGTGGGGGTGGAGCATCATATATGGGACCTAAGGGAATCCCAGAGCCAGACCCCAGCTGTCACCTCAAGAAACTATAATGGATGGCCCAGCTAGGGAGGCAGCAGTCAGTAAAGCACGCACCCCAAAGGATGGGGAGAACCAGCGAGCCCCACTCCTACTGCCCCTGACCCCTGGGACCCTGACACTGTCCTCTCTTCCTCAGGTCAAGAGAAAGGACTCCTGAGGCCAGCTCCAGAAGTGCATCCTGAGTCGTTCTTCATGCTCGCCTGAGATTCTCCTATACCTGCTCCAACTGTGTCCCTAAACAGTTATTGTGTCTCCACCTCTCATCCCCTCCCTACATAGACATCAGTCCTTTTTCTCTGTTTCCCCGCAGACGGGGCTCCGAACCCCCAAGTCTGTAATAGACTAAAGCAATAAACATGGCGTGCTGGGCCTGGCTGTGTCGGGCGTCTGTGGAGCTCTGCCCACTGGGGAACGCAGTCCCCCCACAGGTGTAAGGGGTGACTAGCCCTCTCCTCCCCACCCGACGCCACTTTCTCCTGTTCATCCTGATGGGGTCCCCAGCCCCATGTCTGCACCCAGGCGTGCTGTGTCCCCAGTGGAGGGTCGGTCTGAAGGGCAACGCTGGGCTCTAAGAACCCCGCATGAGGAGCACAGAGAAGAGCCCCAGAAACCACAACTCCCGCCCAGCACAGCGCAGAGGGCTGGGCAGACCCATGGGTTCCGATGCCTGGTCATTTCCCAAGTCCAGATTTCAAGTGTCATTTGTTATGTCTCTAGGTTTTATTGGGGTCTCCTCAACACTTCTAGCCTGTCTGGTTTCAGGATTTGGGTTGGAGATTTAGTGCTACTCTGCACGTCTAGGTTGGAATCCCAGAGAAGGCAGAGGGTTGAGAACACTGATAGGTGAAGCCTGGGGATGGGTGACTTCCCAGGAGCAGGGAGCACAGGGCCAGGCCTTGGGGGAGCCGTGGGAGGAGGGTCCAGAGGGGGCTGAGGTGCTATGGCAGGGGTAGCCCCTCCAACGGGCTCCGTCCCTTGGAGGGTGGAGACCAGACCACCCCAAAGGCAGGCTGAGGTCACTGTGGCAGAGCAGTGCATGGGGGAGGGGGAAGGGACTGGAGAAGAGGAGGCATAGGACAGTGACAGAGGCCATGTCTCAGTGAGCTGAGGCAACATCTGAAAGCAGAGAAGGGTGGGAGATGAAGGAGCCCCGTGGAGAGCCCACTTGCTCCAGGCCTCAGGCTGGACACAGGCGCATGCGTTGTCCCGCTGAATCCGCACGGTGACCTTAGAAGCAATTATTATTTCCCCTGTTTTATAGATGTAGAAACCACTGTTCCCAGATCAAATGACTTGCGAGTGGTGAAACTGTGGCATGTTTCTTCTGAAGACAGCAATTCTGGAAGCTTTTCCCAAGTAGCCGCCAGGACACTGTGATTGCTTAAGGTGTCAGGGTGTGACCCTCGAGCTGCTGCTCACAAAATCCGGGCAGGACCCACAGTAACTCACTGAACAGACCTTAACATTCCACCAAGTGTTGGTTTCTTAGGGCTGCGGTAACAGAGCACAGAACAAACAACCATAACAAAGAGCCACTAGGTAGTTTAAAACAATAGGAATGTATCTGCTTCTAGTTCTGGAGGACAAAAATCCCAAATCAAGGTGTCCCCAGGGCCATGCTCTGTGACAGTTCTAGGGGAGAATTCTCTCTTCTTCCTGTTTCTGATGGCTCCTGGCACTCCTTGGCTTGGGGCAGTGTCACTCTAATCTCTGTCCCTGTCATTACATGACATTTCCCCTTGTGTCTCTGCATCTGAATTCTCCTCTCCTTTCTCTTGCCAAGACATTAGTCCAAATTAGGTCACAGTGAGAGGTTCTGGGAGGGCACGAGTTTGGGGTGGGACACTATTCTTCCCACTACACTGGGTGTCCTGCAGCAGGAGACGAGGACTCTCTGGAGGCGGCTCCCCCACGCCAGAAAGGGCCAGCCCCACAGCAGGGACAGCCTGGGAACCTCATCTCAAGCCCCCACCTTCCATCAGTGTAACTACTTCTAGGTCTCCCGAGCTGCAGCGCGGCTTTGCGCTGGCTGTTGTGGTTGCTGTGTACATGGTGGTTGCTTTTCACAACGACTAAAACAGCCTAAAGACAAGGGGCCACTTCAGGCCCCAGACCAGCATTCACAAAGGGTGCCCCGTTCCCCAGACGGTGTGGTTGCAGTGGGTGCTCCTGTGTGTCCCTCACAAGGGTGGGACAGCAGGGTGGGCAGCTCAGGGCACAAGTGCCTCGGGGAGAGCAGGTGTTGGGGGGGCACAAACTGGGGCTGGGGCGGGGGGCGGTCTGTGGAGAAGAGTTGGGGGGCTGAGCAGCTATAGGGTGAAGTCAGCGTGGCCACGCAGAGAGGGTGACGCCTCCCTCGTAGAAGAGAAACAGGGTCTGCGGGTTTGGTGACTGTCACCTTGGGCATGTGGAGGCATTCGAGGGTGGGAAGATATGGGAGTTACTGGCCAGCACCAGGAGTCCACAAGCCGACCAAGGGGGGTGGGGGGACGAAGGACTCTGCTCTGGAGGATGAAGGGCCAGGCGCATTTCACCAGGGGACTTAGTAGAGATGGCCAGAGCCACACACTCCATCTGGTCCCCACTCAGAACCGCATTCGCCCCAGTGGGCTCCTCGTCCTAAGCCTATACAGCCATTTCCTGTCCCTCCCACACAACTCTCCCCCAACATTCAACTCTCAGCAGTTACGACCCAACTCTCGGCAGTCTGCCTCCCCTGGACCCGTGGCTGGACCCCGAGTGGATTTTGAAAGAATGTAACAGACGCTCTGGGTGGCAAAGAAGCTTAACAGCAGAGTCTCGAGTCCCCTCCAGTTACGCTACAATAGTTGTCCTGGGACAGATGACTCCCGCCCCGTCTGAGTAGGACATTCTGTCACTGGGCAGCTTGTTTAAGCATCCACAAATCTCACGGCAGCACGCCTCACTGGTCATGACTGAGCTCCAGGGACGGTGTTCATAAGACAGCCCGGTGCCCACCTTCAGGCCAGAATTTACCAATCTGTGAGACACAGAATAATTAGAACCTCTACAGCAGGCGTCCTCAAACTACCGCCCGAGGGCCACATGCAGGTGTTTTTGCCCATTTGTTTTTTTACTTCAAAATAAGATATGTGCAGCGTGCATAGGAATTTGTTCATAGTTTTTTTTTAAAACTATAGCCTGGCCCTCCAACGGTCTGAGGGACAGTGAACTGGCCCCCTGTTTAAAAAGTTTGAGGACCCCTGCTCTAAGGGCTTGAGTTTGTGGAATGGAAAAAGCATGTAGTAGGTAGAGGAAAACTTTGTCGTCACAAAGAATCTGGGCTATAAAGCAAAAAGATCTGGATTCAAGCCTTAGTTCTGCCATTGACCAACTATGTGACCTTGGGCAAGTGACCACCTCTGGGACTCAGCTCTCCTTCCTGTAAAATGGGCTCAATCACAATCCCAACTTCAGAAGGTGGTTTTATCTTATTTAACCCACATACAATGTAAAGCTGTTAGCACATGTTAGTAAATATCAGACGTTACTGTAATTGCTATCAGCCTGAAGATTTTTTTAAGCTAAACATTTCCTGTTCTCTGGATGTTACTCTCGTGTAGCACAGTTTTGAGCACTTCCTGCTCTCCAAAGCCCAGTCCCTCTCGTCTGAAATCGCTGAAGATCATTCTTATCCTTCCACCCTTCTAAAAGCGTGTTGTTCAGAAGCAGACGTGGCACAAGGTGGGACCGAGGGACATGGGGTAAAGAGGAGGCATCTCCTTGTTCTCAGTACCTTCCACCATGGTTCCAGGGTAACTTTTCAACTTTTTGTACCCACGTCACCCCACTGACTCAGACCTTACTTTTGACTCAAACCCCGGGTGTTTTTCACACACACTTCTGGTGAGCCAGATATTCCCCTTCCTGTGCTCACAGTTTGTTTTTTCTCCCTGGTGATGAGGGGAGAGGGAGCATTGGCTTAATTTTGTCTTAGTTCTTCAGCTCAGCTCTCCAACCTGTCTAGTTTCTGCAGGATGCTGATTCTGTGGTTTATCGCGTTTATCCTCCTCCCCCATTCTCGGATGTGATCTCGGTCTCGGATGTGATCATTTTGCTTTATTTCTTCTTATGCAAGCGATTCATAAAATTCACAGCGAGATTGAAGCTCAGTGTGGAGCCCACATTCCCCAGGCTTTGTCTACAGCCCTGGGGTGTTGCTAAAACACAGAGAACTGGCCCATGGTGGTCCTCTGTCCCCAGCGGCATGGGCTTGGAGAGCTCCTTTTTGTTCTCTGGGCTGCTGTGTTCCCCTCTGTGACGTGGGGAGATGGGGTAAAGCGGTCTCGAAGGAACCGTCAGCTCTCTCGTGTCTACTCTTCAGACTCAGGGATTCACAGTCTAAGGCCCTGAAGCATCAAGAGACAATAACTCAGGATATCCCAGCCCTTCCAGCTCTAAGGCACACTCATCTGTGACACAGAGGGAGTGTGAGGGACAGGGCTGACCCCACGGTCCCGCAGTTATCGAGAGGCACTTGATGCCCTGACACCTGTTCCCTGGGCCCCCCCCTAGGAAAGAGTCTAGGACCATGGATGAGGACGAGAAGACAGTGTTAGAAAGAATGGTGGCGCCGAATCAAAGCGATGCAGGTGGGGGTCTTTTAGGTTGCAGCTGATGACTGGGGTGGGGATAGAGGTGTCTGAGCCCAGTGCTGGCGGTGGGGCTGTTTATCTCTGAGTAGCATCAGCACCAAGTAACAGCAGCCACCTGTCCTAGCTCCATCTCGGGGAGTCACAACAGGATGTGGTTTGACATTTACCAGGCCCTACATCTGGGGTGCCTGTGAAAGGCCCCCCCACCCCCCGCCCACCCTCCGAGCATCACAAGGACCACACTCACCACATCCTGCCCCCGGCCTGCTCCCAGGCTGCTCTTTCTACCCGGGCCTCTGGTTAGCCCCCTGGCAGTGGAAATAGAACTGCAGAGGGGAGAAGACGGGGTCTCTAATCTAAAGGGGAGGCAGCCCCTCAAGCAGCACCCCGCCCCCCCAAGTCTTTTACACCTGCTGGAGGTTAGAAGCAAGATCAAGGGCGGCAGTGGGCACCACGGAGACGGTGCGGAATGAAAAGCAGCTGCAATAACTGCTGTGACCCAATTGGGGTCCCTTCTGGTCCCACATCACTCAGGCAACCCCTCCTCCCCCCTCTCCCCGTGTGCCCTCCCGCTTCCTTCCACTCATGTAAGGAGCTGCACTAATGAGTCACAGGAAGGGGAGCCCTAGATAACCAACAGGCTGCAAAACGGCCAGTCCCTGGGCATTTGAGCTGCTGTCTGTGTGCTGCGCTGACTGGGTTTCTCTAAGTTTCATTCTCCAGTTGCTAAGGCCTGTAAGGTCCGTGTGATGGATATTTCCTATTCCATCTGAAGAAGAGGATGAGGAGGAGCACAATGCAGGAGAGAGGCAGAAACTCCCAAAGGAGGGAAGGGGAAATAAGCAGGTATATAACAGACTCAAGGGCTGTAGCATGCTCAGGCCAAAGCATGTGATCCTGGGCAAAAATGTAAAGTAGCCCAATTTTAGGGCCACCAGCTTCCCAACCCTGGGTGCTCCCCATCTTCCTCAAGCTGTCTAGAGGCCCCAGAGTGTCAAACTATAAATCCCATGGGTGGCTGAAATCCACAGGAAGCACCCTGAAGGGAGTTCCTCTGGCCACGAGTCTGTGGTCCTGGAACTTCCACGCACAGGTGGCCAGGGAATGAGATGTATGGAGAAGCAGTTATCCAGGCATAGCTACAGAATACTGGAAGCTGCCCTAGAAAAAAAAGACAGCTCTTCTGACCCAAGAGGCAAGTGAAGTTGATGAATTCCTGGCAAGAGATAGTATATCTGAGCAGGATCTGCCATCCTTTGTCCTCTGAAATTGCAATGACTGGATTTCTGAGTCTTAGATGCTATAGAAAGTTATGGGAATAGCATTCTTGTGCCTGAGTAAGGGCAGGTACACGGAGGGTATTAGCTTGTTTTGTTGAATTTAGATGGCTTTCACACCCCTCCTTAACAAGCCTTGCCTTGCCTACCTATGCTCACCTGTCTCTAGGTCACCCTGTGCAACAGTCAGGACCTTTTTCTCACTGCTTCTTCTGAACTTAGATTACCCACTGAGATTTCCACAATTTTACACAAACTGACTCTCCTGCTTGGAATGTCATTTTGCTTATCTAAATACTCGCCTCCTAAACCTAACTCAAGTTTTATCTCCTTTGCACATTTTTCTAGAACTTTTGTGAGTATCTTATAGGAAGGAAAAATCTGTCTCAAGTCTCCTCCCAAGTCCACGTGACTGGTGGTGACGGCCCAGGCTGTTTCTCTGTTAGGAAGGGGCTGGGGGCTGCATGAGGTCCCAGCAGAAAAACACTGACGGTTGATATCTGAAAGCACGCAACGTGGGCAACAAGCCTCACGGGTTTGCCATCCACATATACGTAGTGTTTTAAAATATTTACGTGCCTGTAGTTTATAATTTAACATTTTTAAAATGAGTCTTTCTTTTGGGTAAGCTGTAATCAAAATGTCTTGTAAGTTTAAAGAGAGGAAAACAATATCTGTTGAAAATTAGACCCTGTAATAGGGATTTAGAAACACCACATTGTTTAATACATTTGACAATTCAGTAAGGCAAATGAGGAAAATGAAGCCTACAGAGATTAAACAACTAGCTCAAGGTCAGAACAACTGGTACATTTAGACTCAAAATTCAAGTGCTTTGAGTGAACCACGCTGTGACTATCCCCAGCACCTATCGAGTCTACCTCATTTGTCCCTTTGATCCGTGTGATGGCTCCCTGTGCCCAGCACATAATAGCTGCTTAATATACAATTGATCCTTAAAGTACAACAGGTACCCTTGGGCATCATTACATACACTCTCGCTCTCTCTTTTAGAGATAGGGTCTCACTCCGCCCAGGCTGCAGTGCAGTGGTGTGACGTACCATAGCTCACTACAGCCTGGAACTCCTGGGTTTGAGCGATCCTCTTGCCTCAGTCTCCCAAGTAGCTAAGACTACAGGTACAAGCCACTACGCTTGGCTAATTAGTTTTTAAAAATTTTTTTGTAGAGACACAGAATCACTATGTTAACCAGGCTGGTCTTGAACTCCTGGCCTCCCCCAGTGCTGGGATTACAGGCGTGAGCCACCGCACCCAGCCCCCTACATACTCTCTGAATCACTCTGTGTCTCTGTCTCAGATTTTCTTCTTCAGATTAAATGGTACTGGAAGCAAACACATGTCTGGACTGTCCTAGATTAAGTGATGCCAGGAACAGAGTATTTTAAGACTTCTTGTGCCCTCTCGTGGAGGGTAAGGGACATTAGAAAGAAAATCATTTTAAAAAGAAAGAGAACTAGGGAGGCATGACGGGTGAGCAAGGAACTCGGTTGCCAGGGTAACCGTGGCACCTCCTCCCAGCCATCCACATCAGCCTTGTCCTCTTCCTCATTTCCATCCAAGAGATTTCTCTTTTTTAGGGCTCTACCATTCCACACACAGCCCTCTTCTTTATTTTCAGTCTTGTGTATCTCTTGGATCACCATCTGTTCCTCTGTTCCCTCTTTGCTACCAGGGAAGGGCTGGGAGACAGCAGAGCAGGAAATTTTTAAAAACTCAAAACCCAAAGCAATAATCAAAATTTCTAGGCGCATGGTTTCTTATACTAAAGCCACACTCCCACCCCGGATGAGAACGGTCTCGCGAACGTCTTGCCCTTTCCCTGGCTCAAAGCCTCAGGTCCAAGCCTCTATAAAAGTTCTAGTCTCAGCAGAAACGTCAATGACAGGAGACTCTCCAGGTGATGAAAGTCACCAATTAAGTAACTTCAGTTGGTGTCCCCACCTGCCCCCCTCCCTGCCATTTGTTCACCATCCTCCTCCACGCCACATCCTGCCACAGGTGTATCCGCACATGCACAAACCCTCTGCTCGGTGTACACCCGCGGGAAATGGGGGGCAGAGAGCATTAGGTGAGGTACGACGCACTGCGAGGGCTGGAGCGCGAGGGCCAGGGCCAGACGGCCACTCGCTGGGAACGTGACTGCGTGTGGGCAATTCGCAGGTCCTGTGCACTTCAAATTGTTTGTTCTCCCTGAGAACTTAGTAAGGTTTTTTTTTTTGGAGAATTCTTAATTCAGTTGCTCTCACATTGGCTAGCAGTCTGAAACCCAGTCACAAATATCCTCCACCCAGCCCCTGAGTGAGGGTTATAGGGGAAGGTGGTTAGGACTCAGGAGAGGGTGAGGTTTTTGCACAGACGTCTGCCCTGCCCGGCTCAGTGTGATACTCCAGGCACAGAGATAGAAGCCGGAGTGGCTGAGCAGGAGCTTTTCAGAACTCAGGGTGAACTGGCCGTCCTGGAGCCTGGAGGCTGAGAGGTTCTGGGGCTCCTCGGGCGTGATCTGGCCAACACCAACGGAGTAGAAGAGCAGCTGGAGGGGCCCTCCTGCGGCCTGCCGGTACCAGAAGAGGGTGGGGCTCGATGTCCCCTTCACAGTGCACTCCAGGGAGAGAGGGCTGCCCACAGGCTGCACCTTGATAGCTGGCCATTGATGGATGGTCTGGGCTCGGGCACCTGTGGGAAGTGTAAAGTGTCATTTAGAGAGGGAGCCCTCCAGCCTGCCTTGCTCACCCAGACAGAGGGGCTGCTCAAGCCCTTCCATGCCTCAGGCACAAGGAATCAATCTCGGGGAGCAGACTGGGAGAGCCAAGCGTGCACAGTGTCCCTGGGCCAGGACAGACCAAGACAGCAAATTCCTTCCCAGGGGACAGAGAGAATCAAGACTCAGGACACTAGCCCCTAAGACTAAAGTCCCATTTCCTTTCCAGGCAGTTGGAGGAATGTGCTCCAGAGAGTGAAAGCAACAGCTGAGGCTCTGGATCCCCAGGGCTGGGGTGAGGGTGGGGATTTGCAGAAAGGCTCGCCGGAGAGGAGGCACCCACCTAAGACAGTGCCCAGGAGAAGGGCAAGGAGGGAGCAGAGCATAGTTCAGCCTTTCCTTCAGCTAGCCTGGTGGACGCCTCCTCCTGGAGGGCAGAGATGTGTGCAATCCGCTTATGTCCTGGTATGTAAATGTGTTAAGTGTGTGGTGAATCACCCCCCCCCTCCCTGGGAACCAGCTGTAAGAGGCACCTGTTATCTTCATTGCAATCCCGCTTATGTCCTGGTATGCAAATGTGTTTAATGACTCATAACTTACCTGTAAGCAAGAGGTTGCTAGCTCCCCCCAGAGACAGCAGAAGTCTCCGTACTAGTCAGAGAAACTGTGACGCTGGCAGGAGGATGAAAGGGATTTTAGTCTATCTGAAGTTAGAAACTAGAGACAGGACCTGTCACCCGGGAAGCTGGGAAGGAGATAAAAGGAGATCAGGGCTCCAGAGATTTAGGTCTTCAGGGTATTCAAAGCAGAACCGCTTAGCTCTAGCGGGAAGGAGCTGCCGTGACAGCCAGCCGAGGGATCACCTGCACGGCTGTCACCCTGGCAGACAGGCTTGGAGACTCGGACAGGCAGAATTAACTACTGAACCAAGCAGAGCTGGGCTGTGTGTTCCATGTCCCAACTTGATCTAATTTTTCATCTGAGTGCAGTGTGAGGTGGAAGACACATCACGGGGCTGTGGAATCCGATGGATCAGGATTCATGTCACAGCTCTGCTTATTGCTAGCTTGGGAACCCTCAGCAAACTCTTACCCTCAATTTTCTCATCGATAAAATTTTTAAAAATGGTCATAGTACTGACAAAGAGTTGAGAGATGCATTTTGCCTGGTGCATTGCAGGCAGTCTTACAATCAGTGTTTTTTGTTTCGTTTTGGTTTTTTTTTTTTTTTTTTTGACCCTAGGGAAGGCCTGTGCCTGCAGCCAGGACTGGGAGACTGACAATGGGCTGGGATGGAGTGTGGGCTGCAGGGACTACGGAGACACAAGAAGAACTGCCAGACACTGATTCATAACAGCGAAGGATGGGAATCTGCTGGGCAGCTGGTATGACCGCACTCTGCTGAAATAAAATAGAGGACCCCACCGTTCCTGGAGGACAGCCAACGCCCTTGGAACCTCCTCTCCCCTCTGCCTTTGCCATGCTCTGTCTCTGGGAGATTTATTTTCAAAACAATTATTCAACTTGGGTTGGATATGGTGGAGTAGTTTAAGGTGGTACAGCAAAGGAAGCAGTAGGAGTGGCCAAACAGGGAGAATGAGCCCGAGGCAAATCAGGCGTTTGTAGCTAGCGCTTTCCCATTTCATCAGGGGCTAGTGATGTAATGCACTTCTTACTGCCGCTGATGGTGCAATAACACGATTCCAAGTTAATGTCGGGGCTCTGGCTGCTGGCGGAGTCTCAGCTGTAGCACCGCATGCTTCTCTTGCTCGCCTTTGAATGCACTGTGTTTGTGGGGAGCGTGTTTCCTGCTTTATCTTTTCTAAGTGGAATGAATCCTCTTACCACATTTATTTATTTAAATGATACATCAAGTGGTAAACAGAGTTTGCTTTCCGGGAACATTTGCCATATGCAATGAAAAATAGCTACAGCCAATGAAAGAAGGCAGTGAGGTTCTCCAGTGCGATCTCGGTTTTTATGAACCTGTTAACAGGGCTCTGTATACGATCTAAGCATGTTAGGATTGCAGGGAGTGAGGACGCACACAACCTATGCCTCTCCCCTCCTTTCCATGTCTGTTCTCCTTCCTCTTAGCTCCTGAAGTTTTCACTGAGTCAGTCGTGAGTGGGGATGAGAGTGGAGGGAGGGTGGGCAGGGTGGGGGGGGACAGCGATGCAGGGAAGAGAGGGTGACGATCGGTCCCACTCTCGATAGGGCGGCGTCATGTTGTCACCTGGCGGGCGGGCAGTCTTTCACACGGGGGCCCACGGGACCTGATGTAACTCCCCGGCAGCATGAGCTCATCCCCACGTGTGGAGAGCAGCGTAATCTTCCCCTTTAGAGATGGCACAGCAGATTGGAGGGCGAAGAGACATACCAGTCAGATCAGAGCAACCAGCTGGCTCCTGACGCCCTGATCGTTGTCACAACCCAGTAGCTGGGAGCTCCTTCCATATGGTGATGCCTTAGAAAAATGTATCCTCATTCTCCGTTCCCATCTGCAATCCTGCTTATTCATGCGATCACTCAAGCCATTCAGATAGTGAAATGTGTGTGGGGATGTGATCCCTCTGCTCTGCGGCAGCAGATCTCTGGCCTAGCCGAGGAGGTGTCTAGCAGACTAGCTGGCTGAAAGCTGGCTTCAACCACGCTCTGCTTTCTCCTTTTCCCTTCTCCTGGGCTCTTGAAGGTGGGCGCCTCCTCTCAAATCCTTTTGAGGGGCGTGGGCTTCTTTCTCCTCACTAGATCCTTACTGAATCGCTACTGGTACGATGAAGCTTTATATAGGAAGAGAATGGCAATAAGTTAACTCATCTTTTTTAGTTTTAAAACTAAAATCTATCCTTATAGCATGGATTCGGAAGACAATTGCAGAGGCTATTTGTTCCTCCACAGAAGAGCTAAACATTGCCTAGGAGGGAGAAGGGAGGGAGAGTGAGCCAAAGAGACGCCCCTGAACTTCCTGGGCTGTGTCTGCCCCGTGCCCCACCCCCTGCTTACCCACCCCCTCAAGGAGGAAAGAGAAGAGAGAGAGGTGGAGAGGGGAGAAAAGCTTTGACAGAAGAGGAAGAGTTGTGCTTATTTCCAAGAGGAGGGGAGCAAGGTCCTAGGTCCCTGCATGTCACACTGGTTAGAGACCAGTAAGTAGAAATGGCTTGTAGGCAGAGGTAATGGCCTTCCAAAGATTTCCACATTCATAATCCCCAGACCCTGTGCAGTGTTTTAGTTACACAGTGAAAGGGAGCTGAAGATGGAATTAAGGTCCTAATTGGATGGTCTTAAAATAGGGAGAGTAGCCTGAATGATCCAGGTGTGCCCTATGTAATCACGGGGGTCCTTCCACGTGGAAAAGGGAGGAAGCGAGTCAGAGACAGAGCTGTGGCCATGGAAGCAGGTTAGACAGAAGCTACGCTCGCTGCTGGCTCTGAACATAGAAGGGGGCTTGAGCCCAGGAATGAAGTTGGCCTCTAGAAGCTGGAAAAGATAAGGAAATGATTTCTCTCCTAGAGCCTCCAGAAAGGAATGCAGCCAGCCCAGCAGACACCTTGATTTTACCTTGCTGAAACCTGCGTCAGACTTCTTAGCTACAGGACTGCAAGCTAACACACTCGTGTTGTTTTAAGCTGTGAAGACTGTAGTAATTTATTCTTGCAGCAATGGAAAACTATTTAATACACGGCTTTACAATGTGTCTTGACAAAGGGCACTGAGGTAGTCTCTAAAAAAAGTCCCTATAGATCTCAGGACAGATCAGGACTAGCCATTTTCTCATTCATATGAAGACAGATGAACTGAGCAAAGCCATCAAGCCTGAAGGAGCAACATGATTGAACGTGGGAGACACAGAGCACCCTTCATGGATGGACAGAGGATGAAGGACAGAGAGAGACACCCGAGGGATCAGCAGATGTCAGTGAGGATGGGTGCTCGTAGCCAGTGCAAATGTGAATTCTGAAGAAAAGATAAAGTGACCAAAGACCAAGTACCCTCCGCCTCAGTGCCTTGATATTTCATAAGCTCCCCAGGATTTAGCTACCACGCAGGGAGAAAGGATAGGGAGAATCATGAAGTGTCAGAGAGACTCCTGAATTAGCCATGTGTACCCCACTGGAATGAGGACCTGGATATAAAATGAACTTGATTATAAAAAATAAAATTACATTTTACCCACCCATATTTGAAGCCCATGAATTTCATATCCAGCTTACATACCCATAGGTAGGTGCCATGGAAAACAAAAAATTAAAAAGAAGTGACACTTGCTTTCTAATAACTACTACAGGAGGTAAAAGATGGAAAAGGAGTTCTAATGACAAATGCTAGGAGAGTTTAGGAACTTCTGCTTCCAGTTATGGAGGAACTTGTACCCACCTAGTCTTCTATACAATTAGTTTTTTTTTTTATCTGCTATAGCACAGTACCACAAACTGAGTGGCTTAAAACAACAGAATGTATTGTCTCACAGTTCTGGAAACTAGAAGTCTGAAATCAAAGTATTGGCAGGGCCATGCCCCTCTGAAACCTGGGAGGAAATCTTTCTTTGCCTGTTATTCTGGGGGTTTGCTGGCAATTTTTGACATTCCTTGGCTTGCAGCCTTGGTCATTGCATGGCATTTCCCTGTGTGTCTCTGCCTTCACAGGGCTGTCTTTTTAGATGGACATTAGCTAGATTAGGAGTCCACAGTACGCCAGTTATGACCTCATCTTAACTAGTCACATCTGCAATGACCCTAGTTCCAAATAAGGTTACATTCTGAGATACTGGGTGTTGATAAGTCAACATAGTTTTTTCTGAGGGAACACAATTCAACCCATTCCACACTCCAGTCATAAACAACTAGAAAACTAGATGATATATATGAAACAATTGTTTTCTAATATTGGACAATAGACAGTGCAAGACTGTGATCCATGAAAGAAAGGAAACAAATGAAGTGAGCCCTATGATTATTACAGTTTTCTGCCTGGCACTTTCTGGGTTGCTGTGCAGGAGGGAAACTCCAAGCAGGGCATGGCGCCCTTAAATTCTTACTGAGCTGAGATTACAGCCCAGAGAGGAGGAGGCAATGCACAGAAAGAGCCCCAGAAATTTTCACAGGATTCTCCCTGAGTCTTTGGCTAAGTGCTAAGCTGGTGTGCATAGGGTGAAACCCCACAATGCTGGGCAAAGACTAAATCTGGGGAATTAACAACTACTGGTGACTATAGTATAAGTAATTACTAAAGCATGCTCAATGCCAAGAAATGTACAGCTGTGACCAATCAGAATAGCTTTATTGAATACCTGGTATATTTAATAGACACCCCAGAAAGCCCATACCTTAGAATAGGACTCAAGTAGCATAGAATAAAGCCACTCTATAACAAAATACCATAGAATAAAAAAAAAAAAAAGCCACTCTACATTAACCCTAACAAACATTAAAACAAACTTTTAAAGGCAAAAGCAAACAAGTTGATGTGCAAGTAAATTAACTACCTTCTAAAATAAA